CCTGTGCATATTATACACAATATATTAACCGCTTCCCTGATTATCCAGAGTTAACTCAGGTATTGCAAATATTTATTTTCCTGAGAAAATTCACTGTTTTTCCTGTGCATATTATACACAATATATTAACCGCTTCCCTGATTATCCAGAGTTAACTCAGGTATTGCAAATATTTATTTTCCTGAGAAAATTCACTGTTTTTCCTGTGCATATTATACACAATATATTAACCGCTTCCCTGATTATCCAGAGTTAACTCAGGTATGTATATATTGCAAATATTTATTTTCCTGAGAAAATTCGAGCATTGCAGAATTTTGTCAGTACGTTTTGTATTATCACGTTTTTACTTGGCTGGAATCAAAAAGAAGAAAAAAAATCTGCTGTTATTGGAAGTTTGCCAATTGAATAATTAATGCCAATCGGATAAATTGGGATAGTAAACTTATGGTAAATAAATTTTTTTTAAGAAAATTAAGATTTTAACTTAAAACTTGTGTATTATGTTTTGTTTTAGTTTCTTGTATTTATTAATGAAATAAAAAAAAAATGTGCTGATTTTTTTCCAATTTTTTTTTCTCCAAAAAAAAAAAATAGGCAAGGGAAGCGGTTAAGAGGAAACACAACAATTATTGTGTTCTTGTGTAAGCTGGATTGGGCTTACTGTATTCATTAGATTTAAATGCTGGAAAAACTTAGAGAGCAAAAAAAGGAACAGCTGAACATACAGTAGAGTCCCGATTATCCGAGTTAATGTAGACCACGACTAACTCGGATAACTGAAAAACTCGGTTAAAACAAAGAGTATAAAAAAGGAAAGAAAAAGAGCTGGTATAAATGTAATATATTTAAGAAATACGAGTATACCACATATAATTCCTATTATATGTGGTATACTCGTACAAACTCGTCATATGTGGTATACTCGTGGTATACTCGTCAAAGAGTATAAAAAAGGAAAGAAAAAGAGCTGGTATAAATGTAATATATTTAAGAAATACGAGTATATCACATATAATTCCTATTATTATTGAAAAGCTTACTTGAAAATACGTAAAAAGTATATTTGGCGAGAATTAGAGTTTTTACTTAAAAAAAGTCCTTGTTTTTTGTTTTATGTAACTTTGGGGCTTTTCTGCAGCAATGTTTCGCCATTGTTTAGGACAGGAAGGCTGGTGTCGCCTCTTTTTGTTGTTCTATGTATTCAGTAGCATTTTCGTCAGCTTTAAGTTCATCTGTGTGAGATTTTTATATGTTGATTTTTATCGTCACTGTCTTCATCATCTTCGCTAGGTTCATTTTCATTATTGACGATATTAACGATCATTTCATGGGGTCAAGTTGTTAGATTTTGTTTTCCCGAGTGTTTGGAAGCTAAAATTCAGATTTATTTTTCGGCAGTATTTTTGAAAATAAAAAATAAACTAGAACAAAAAAATCCTTAAAATATTTGATAGCTCGGTTAAAGCGGAAACTCGGATAACCGGGGCTCGGATTATCGGGACTCTACTGTACTTAAATATCCCATAGATTACGTTTTGAGTGATCATCATTTTTTAAGAAACAAAATTCCCTTTATTTTCCCAGTTCATAAGGAAAGAATCAAAATTCCCTGCCCTTTTCCTGTTAATTAATAAATTCCCTGTATTTTCCATATTTTCCCTGCAGGATGGCAACCCTGCTCTAAAAGGTACCTTTTTAGAGTAACCTGGTAGGGGTTTTAGACGTTCTTAACTGGTTTTGGACTGGACACGTGAGTTTTACTGTGTTAAAGTGTCCTAAACTGACTAAAACTGTCCAAAACCTTGAACATTGGTAAAAGGTAAAAATTCTATATGTGCAACCATTGTACCCATAATAATTACATAGATTAATAAGTATTTGACACTTTTTATACAATTTGCTTTCACTTATTGAAGGATAATATTATAATAGGGAAAGAGTTATAACTTTTAAAGCTCCATAATTCACTGAACAACAAGTGAATACTTTATCTTTTAAATATAAATAAATAATGCTTTTAATACTGATAAATTGTTTTTGCATAAAGATAAATAATGAAATATTAAAAATAATAAATAAAATTTTTTAATAAAATGAAAACTTGTCTTCATTTTGTTCAAAAATTAACCTTTCATTATTCACAATATTTTCTTAAAATTGTGACATAATTTGAATAAAAGTTTTTTTTGGATAGGACAGCTTCAATCCTGGATTAATCTCTTCTGTCCTAAACCTTCCCAACTCCTGTTTTTAGGAGATGAGATCAAGAAACATTTAAGAAAAATCAAAAATCATGCCTTTTAAGGACAACCCTAGTGTGGACCTTAATCTGAAATGAATTTATTTCATCTTCCTTTGTTTCAACGATTTTACTTGTAAGACTTATAAAATTGTTAGTCTACAATACAGGGCCGCCACTACCATTTTTCAATTTTATTTTGTAGGGAAATGTAATATCCGGCAAAAGTTACAGAGGCTATTTCCCCCCCCCCCTCCAATTATGTGACCTTACTGCAAGAAGTATTGCCTTAAAATCTTGAATTAGAACACCAAAATTGTTAATAATTTTGGAAATATCATTTGCATTCAAATTTAAAGTTTTATTCCTCAAAATAGTCTCCTAGAGATCTTTTACTATCCCTCTCTTGCAATCTAAGTGGTAGCTTTCTAACGAATTGAGATTTTGAATCAAATTGCTGAGAATTCAGACTATTACTAGTATTTTTTGAAAAAGTTGCAATTTATGTACTATCAGAAATTTGAAAAAGAATTGTGTTAATAGTTATAGACAACATAAGCATTATTGTTTCTTTATATATACTTTTCATATTGAGAGTAAAAAGCAGAACTGAAGCCCCTTTCTGCATAGAGAGATTCAATTCTGGTTCTATTTTCTGTGAGAAGTAGTAACTTCTCACAGAAAATGGAGACATAAATCAAATATTATGTTCACATGGATTTTCTTCTTTTGCTCTGAAAAAAAAACTGTGTATTATAACTCATTCGTGGACATCCTGTATTTTCGTCTAACAATTTGCATGAATCAAACAAGGACAAAATTTTCAATTTGGAGTAAGCTCTACACTGCGGTCTGATTGCAATACTGTTACAACAGATCTCCAGTTTCATCTTGCCAGTTTTTTAACCTCTTCATCGCATAAGAAAAATATTGAAATTGAATTTGTCCCCACTCACACATCTCTTTAAATTGCACAATTTTGAATATTGCTAAGAGGTGGCCCAACTTCACAATTTTAGCAGTGAGATTTCCCGCTTTGAATTGAATTCAAAATAATTTTGTACTTTCTGTAATTTCGCTTTCATTAGTGTTGTTAGTGTGATCAATGCGATTTTTACACTCAGATGCCCAAAATTGATTGTAAAACTTTTTTAACAATAAGGTTGGAAAATTATTTTATGCAGGTATTTATCTTAAAGCAATAGTAGGGTTGCCAACTATTTTCGGCCTACTATGGCAACTTTTTTTTGTCTGAAAAGGCTTTAAAAAAAAAGCAACTATTTTTAGGAAAAGGAGATTATTGAGAGACTTATCTGTACTTTTGGCTGTTTTTTTAAGCATAAATTGGGTTGACAATCTGCGACCCATGGAAGCTTCTGAACGCAATGAATTTTATACTTTGTGTTCTAAACACAAAAATTTTTTAGAAGGTTTTTTTTTTTAGTGAGAATATTTTTTTGAATGAATTCTAGTAATTAAAAGTATTAAATTTTCTGTGAATTTACTATTTTTTTTGCTAAAAAATTTAGTGCTAAAACACAAGCGTTTATATAAAAATTATTTTGCCATCAGCTTGACTGAATGGATCAGTGCATATGACAATTAAGTCATTTAATAAAATTTTAGTCATATGAATAAAAATATTTTGTTCTTATTTAAGCAGCTATTTTGTTCATTTTTTTCTGTGGCAACCCTGCAATGGAGTTAATAAATATGTTATTGCAGGAAAAACTAGAAATCAGTGGACAGGACATCGCATTCGCAAATTTAAGTTCAAAGATTTAATGATTTTCTGCAATTAAAAAAATGCTTTTTTGGGTTGGGAACTCAAAAAAAAAAAATCCAACAGAGATGGGGTTAGGAATTGAAATGCTTGTTCAGGGTGTGTAGCCAAATTATTCAACAAAAAATAAGCACCTTTTAAGCACTCGAAAAATATTTTTAAGCACTTTAAAATAATATAATTAGGCAGGGTTGGAGAGTTTTTGACAATTGACGGTTTTATCCGTCATGTCAAAAAAAACCTTTTGGCATTGTTTTTTACAATTGTCAAAAATCATGAAATTTTGAATTGTGTAAAACGAATGGCGTTTTCATATGTTACGGACTGACACTGCACGGAAATAGATTGGGGTTAAATTAATTGTGAAAACGTTGAATAGAACAATGTGAACTGGGTCTTTTGCAGAATTCATAGTGAAAATCAACATGGTTAAGGAAAAATCTCATTTTGAAAAAGGGAAAATTTAGCACTTTTTAAAAACATCCTATGAAAAAAGAACACTAGCGAGATTTTTCATCAAAAAATAAGCACCTTTAAAGTACTTTTCAAGCACTCAAAAAATAATTTTAATCACTTTCCAAAAAAATCATAATTAGGATCTGTGGAGTAATAAAAATTTTTTTTTCTATTCTTTTAAGTTTTTAATTTACAAACATAAAATCAATTAAATTATGTTTATCCTTAAATTATGTTTTGAAAATCCTTTCAAAAACTTCATCAAAAACTTCACATAATCATGATAAAATAACTAGTTTCTGATAAATATTGCAGAGAAAATTGTGAAAATCATGCATTTTTTGTAATTTATAATGACAATTGAAGAAAACTTTTTTTGTTTCAGTTGCTGGCGTTGGTGGTGCATATGCTGCTAAGAACGTTGTCACTCAATTTATTTCTTCAATGGCAGCCAGTGCTGACGTTCTGGCTCTGGCTAAAGTGGAAGTCAGCCTTTCCGAGATAGAAGAAGGGAAGAGCATGACATTCAAGTGGAGAGGAAAACCCCTCTTTGTGAGGCATCGTACTCAGGAGGAAATTAAGAAGGAAAGTGCTGTAGATATCACGCAGCTGAGAGACCCACAAGCTGATATAGATAGGGTGCAAAAACCAGAATGGCTCGTCCTGATTGGAGTCTGTACTCACTTAGGCTGTGTACCCATCCCTAATGTAGGGGACTACAAAGGCTACTTTTGCCCATGCCACGGTTCCCACTACGATGCATCCGGAAGAATTAGAAAAGGGCCAGCTCCCCTAAATTTAGAAGTACCCCCATATGAATTCACCACTGACTCCACTCTCATGGTTGGTTGAGTGAAGAAAAAGAAAGAAAAGACAATTGAAAACAGATGTAAAAAATAATTTATTTATCAGCAGCAAAATAAATGATTTAACAATGTATAAAGCATGAAAAGCAACAACTGTAAGTTAGGCAATCTTGCATAGAAATATGAATTTTACAATTAATTAAAATTTACATTAAAGTGAAATTGTCCATTATTTTGAAAAATACACAAGGTTTTATTATAATCTGCTTCGAGAAATAGAGGGTTGTCTTGCAAGAACAATTCTTCAAGGCTTGAGCAGGTTTTCAAAATGTTCAAATTCTTTGGTTCTTTTATACCTATTTAAAAGATTAAGGAAATCAATATAAATTCACTTTCATGTGTGGCTTGGTGTACACGGCTCGAAAATAGCTTTGGAGCACTTTACAGCATAAGAGTTGTCAGTTGTAATTAGAAATTTAAAATACATTCCATTCACTTATCTCGTTTTATATTAATAAACTAATTTTTTAAGCTTGCTTGATAGTTGGAAAAGCCTAAATAAATTCTTTATTTATCTTTTTAAAATTAATTAAGCTAGGTGTGTTTTTCAAATCGCGGGAATACTAATTCCTACATTTAATTTTTAAGTCCCCAGTGACAATGAATAATAGTGCTTTTCAAATTCTGTGAATATGAAACAGTATACAATGGAGCATCGTTTATACTACATCGTTTTAGTGTGGTCCCAAATCATTCCTATTCATTTTAGTGTAAAAATATATCATTTATACGACGCACAGAATCAGTTATACGTCAGTTTTTAGATTTTGTTCACGTTTATTTAATTTTTTATTTTTCCTTGTGTATTTTAAAAAAGGCGCAATTTGCCAACATGAATGATTCAGAAGAGGGTGCTAACAAGAATGCTTGGATGACGACCGTAATTTTTACTAGATGACTGAAAAAACTAGACAATGTTATGAAGAGGCAAAAACGAAAAATTTTGCTATTCATTGACCAATGTCCAGCGCACCCATCGATACTAATTATTTTGGAAAATGTGAAAGCTCTCTTTTTTCCTGCAAATTGCACAAGTGCGCTTCAGCCATTAGATTTGGCCGTGATTAGAAATCTAAAATTAGCATCATAGAAAGCAGTAAGTTCAACTCGCTATTCAAAGCATTGTAGAGACTAATAGCAAGAAAATATAATTAAAGGTATCATACATTAAAATTGCTCACTGCAATTTTTCTTCTTTGGTTATTCGTTTGTTTTGCTTTCTCTAATTTAGAAATTTATGTAAATCAACACGTTAAACATTAAAATTAACTGAAAACAGAGTTAGTTTCAGTTTTAGAAGTAAAAATCGTTTATACGACACTCCACTGTATTTGATATAAAATCGTGAAAATATAAAATAGTGTGAATACAGAACGCGGCCGTGTGATTTAAAATCATATGAACAGAAAATATACATCCATGTGCAAACACTCCTACAAAATGAACACCTCATCATAGATATTTTGTCTCTGTAAAGTGAACATGAACAGTGTTTGAAAACGTTATTTTCTATCTCTTCAAACCGGACACCAATATATATATTTTTTTATATTTGAAAAAAAAAACTATTTCTGCTTAAAATTAATTCCCCCCTCAAAAAGAGAAAAATATGCATCCTTTAAAGGATGCATAAATTTTTTTGCCTTATATATGACTAAAAATTTTGTTAAAATCAATCATACTCCTGTCACTTTTCTTTCTCTTTGCTAGAAAAAATGATACTGCTCATTTGAAACATTTTGGACAGAGGCATGTGCATAATGTAAATACATATTTCAAATTAATAATATGAAACCTTTTGTTATTGAAAGCGTAACAAAGGCATATAGCAGTAGTACAAATTGAATCATTTCTTGATTTTTATTCTATTTAACCCAGTAACTAGCAGGTAGAGAAGATTTATCTAAACTGTACAGAATTTGAATAAATATTAGTTAACCAAAAAATGAAACTTAGAAAAGAAAAAACACGAAAATTTGACAGTGTATTTCCTAAAAACACTAGTAAATCGCTTGCCTTACCAATTTGTTTGGAAAAAAAAGCAACACAAGTTTTAAATTGAAATTTTTTTGATGTGTAAAAACATTTTATTTACCATCAGTTTACTATACCGAGTAGTCTCGGGCAAATGAAAAAAGTAAAATATAAGTTTTTGTTTGACAGTTTTTAAAACAAGATACAACACAAAGTGATACTTTCCAAACGCCAGTAAAATGATATGTCATATTTTTTACTCTTTTTCCTCTATGCAAATTCAGCAACGCCTGTTTACACAAAATATGTGAGCAATCCAACAGCAAAACTCCCAACACAAAACTTGGCAAACTTCCAATCGCAGCAAATTATTATTTGCTTCCGGAAGAGTAAAAACAAAATGTACTAACAAAATTCTGCTACGCCCGAGTTTTCTCGAGATAATCGGGGAAGTGGTTAAATACTTTTTTTCTTCTTCAATATTCTTCAAATCTTAGAGAATCTAATTATTATTATAAAAACAGTAATAAAGGATACAGTTTCGTTGTACCGATAAAGATTTCAAGTGCTTTAAGTTCTCTACACCATGGAAGGTTGTCAGCTGATTGTCATCTAAAATGGCACTTTTTAAGTAAACTAAGTACTGGAATGGGTAGATTGAAGTTAAATTGTTGGATGATAAATCTATGTGCTCTATTAAGAGAAAGTGATCAAAATGATGGAGGCTGGTTAAATGATTCTTGGAGAGATCAATGGAGCGCACATCAACTGGGAGACTCTCAATCATGTTTTCAATCACAAATTTACTTCCTGAAAGGAATAAATTATAATATTAGACATATACATAGGGTATCCGCGCACCTGGTAAGTCATGAATTTCGGTATTGCACAAAATTTGTCATGATTTTAACTATTTTTTTAAAGAAAGTTATGGATTTAGGTCGCCGAAAAATATAATTTTTAAAATGGAGTTCCGAATATCTGAATTTCTAACAAAATCCCCACTCACAGTCTATTTTATTAAAATATAAAATGTTTTTATCATGCTCTTTAAAAATTATGGTTTCAAAAATGAAAGAAAAAACATTTCTAGAGCAGATTATCTTTTAAACTTCTGTGATTTCAGAATTTTTATGATTATTTATTTTTTTCATTTTATCAATTTAAAATTTTAGTTGAAGTAAGCCAGTCATTGGCAAATTTTTTTTTATTCCGAAATGAGTACAGAAAAATCAAGAGTATATCTTTCTTTTCCGATGAACAAGAAAAGTATCTTTAGAAATAATTCTACAGAAAAAAAAAAGAAAAAGAAATTACTTGCTTTTGTATTTTTTTCAGCTATTTTATTGCTTTAACTCTTTCTTTAAATTTAAAATCTATAAATATATGAAGATGCAGAGTATTACAGTTTTAGTTGTACCTATCATTTCAATGAATGTTGTTATAATGCTTTTTTAAATGTATTGTTGTGTTTTTGTCGTAGAAAATAGTAACTTCGTTAAGTCATGAAAAATTCATGGATTTGAATATCTAAAATGTAGCGGATACCCTGTTCCTTCAAGGGACCGAGATTTCGGTTCACTGCAACTGGGACTTCACTGTATTAGTCAACAATTTTAACTAGTTCCAAACCCTCTTTTTTTTACCATTTAAATTAATGACCAATTAAATGAAATACAAAAATGACTGAAATATAATACCTAGCAACAAAAAATGTGCTAACTTTTATTTTTTTATTACTCTTCGTCTTGCGTGGAAAAAAAATTAGTAGGGGGGGGGGCACCTGTGAACATGATATGTTTTTCCAATATGATATGAAATAAAAAATCTTGAAATTTTTTCAATTGATGGTAGTATCAATCCTACCTCTCTGCAAAACTTTCAGAACAATAAGCTATTTTGTTCTATTCTGAAAATTTCTTTGTATCAGCTGGTGTTGTATATACTTTTATCACTCGCTTCAAGTGAAAACGTAGTATAAACCAACTAATAAGCTAAAATTAACTATTGCAGACCATTATATGAACATTTAGGTATGTTTATGACAATTATTATTTTTTTTCCTTAATTAAAAATTCTTTATTTTTCAAGTTAGGTTTAAGAAAGATGATGGGGCACTTGTGAACAAAACATCTGGGGCAGATGTGAACAATTCACATGTGTCCCTACATAGTATTAAGATTATTATCCTCATGATATTATAAGTTTAAAAAATATGTATGCATTTAAAATTATTATTATTTAATTTTCCATAATTAATTGTTAATTTTTACTTTAAAATTTTTTTTTAATTAAATGGTTGATCAACAATTTTGTGTTGTATAATGATTACAAGAAGTAAAAAGACATAATATTTTATTACTTAAAAAGTTAATTTTATAATAATTTTTAAAATATATTATTATTCTTAGTAGAAAACCTATTTTGCAAAAGCAATATATGCAAGAATAATCTTTATTTAACAAAATATTCTTTATGCTGCATCGTTAAGAATTGAAGCATTTGTCCAGATACTGGAAGAGTGCAACTTCTCTGAATGCTGAACCAATTCAATAATGAAGCAAACAAGAAAAAATTCTTATTGCTACATTGCATGCTATTGATAGTTTTAAAAATCTTTTATATGTATTTATTTTGAAGTAGAAATTTCAAAATCATTACAAAAAAAATGAAAAAAATTAGTCGAAGACAGAAAAAAGTTCAAAATATTCAACTTCCTCTCTTTTTTTGGTTCACTTGATCTACAAAAAATAACATCATACGTGTGTAGCAGTGTTTCCCAAAGTATACAGTTCCCAGGGGTATGGGAACAGTTTAGCGGGGGTACACGTTCTTATGCGAAATATCTTGCAACAAACGAAAATTTCAAAAGATTTTATTTAAAAACAAAACTAGCCATGAAAATTTACGATTATGTATTTTCCATTAGCTATTTTTTGAAGAGTTAACAGCAACAGCTAGTTGCTATTTTTTATAGTAAAAAACACATTCATTTTTTATTAGTGGTACACAGCATTACAAAAAATTTAGAAAGGGTACACAAAAGTCATAAGTTTGGGAAACACTGGTGTGTAGCTAGGCACGGAAGCGAACATATCGTTCACTATAAACCGTGTATTTATAAATAAATCTGCCGAATCGGATGGCAAGGGCACCCAATGATAACAAAACTTCTGCATAAATAAATAAAAAAAAAATTAATGCGGAAACATGAAAAATAATTTTAAAAACTATTCATACATCATAGCTGCCAACTCTATTGGATTTCCCAGTAGACTACATGGTTTTGTTTTATACACACATTATTATCAAAATAATTTATTACAGGAAAGAAATAAAAACTTCGCTGTTATAATTTCAGTTTAATAAGTACAAAAAAAATAAGGACGGTTTCTATCAAAATAACCTATCCTTTTTTGTTACATACAGTGAACTTACCCAAGTCTTTATAATAATTCTTGCGTAAGGCATCAATTTTCATCAGCTTATTCATGAAATCTACAATTTGGTCGTCAAACTTGCTATCATTCAGGGCTCGCATCAACAAAACACAAGTAAATACTGTCCCTTAAAAACAAAAATATTGCTGTTAGCTTCTTATAATTCAATCTAAACAAGAAAGAAAGTATTTTTCGCCTAATTAAACAGGGTGCGTAGCCAAATCTTTCAACAAAAAATAAGCACTCAAAAAATATTTTTAAACACCATATACATTAACAAAATAATTTTCAAAATGATCATGATAAAATAACTAGTTTTTGACCAGGAACTCTTTTTCTTGATTATATTAGCCATTAAAAAATGATCAGGAGATTTTTCGGTTTGATTTCAGAGGTTGGAAGCTTGAAATTGTGAATAACTTGCAAAATGCATCAGAGTTGTACATGAGAGTGCAATAATCTCACCAAAGACAGCTCACATGCGGACTCTCAACTATTTCATCAAACTTGTAAAATGCTTGGCGCTTTCATAGGCTATGGACCGACGGTACGCTGAAATAGATTTCGGTTGAATGAATTGTGAAAACGTTGAATAGAATAATGTGAAAAGCACGCTTTACCATAATACCTGGCAAAAATTGATTGCAGTATTATATGAAATTTAGATTATCTCCTGTAAGAACACTTACATTTATTGTCTGGTTCTAGATCATTAAGTTGTTGGCAAGATTCCAGCTCCTGCTCCAAAACATCTTTAGCTGCTGCATTCAATGTAGACCTAAAAGAAATAGAAATTTTTATGCAAAAAAAAAAAAAAAAACGAAAATTGTTGGGCCACCATTAACCATTAAGGCGAGGGGTGCAATCTATGGCCAAGAATTCAACTTCTGCCATACCCATACGTCATACCCATTTATACTGTCAGATTCATACATGCATTCATTCATTCATCCACAGATCGTAATTTTGACTTGAACCAGAGAGCGATCAATCTCGAATTCAGCACCCCTAGAGGTATTATTTATAATGGGATACAGAAAGGGTACCACAATTAAAAAGCAGAAATTGCCATATAGTGCAAATTTTCAGCAATTTAGCTAAATTCAAGGGTGCCGTTAAAAGCTGTAATGAATATCTACAAAGGAAATTCATTACTATAACCTCTGACATATTACCTGATTAAAAAATGATACCACTGACATATTTTGCAGACTATTAAAACAATATCTAGAAAAATAAACATTGTCTTTTTAGGGGATGGCAAATTTTTTAAAAAAAAGGGAAAACTTTTTTTTTGTTTTTACTTGTTCTAATTTTTTTCCCTTCTGCTTGAGCTTGCAATTTTTGCTCATTTTTATTTTTTCAAATTTGAGGTGAAAATGAATTCACAGGCGATAAGTCGTGTTAGAAGGTGACCAGAACAGCTTAAAAAGACTCCTTGGCATATCAGGGACAGTTTGAAAAAGTATATTGGCAGATTCCTTTTAAAAAATGTTGGTTAGAAAATGACTAAATATTATCTTATGATTGAATATTATTGAAAAGAGTAATAAAAAATAGGTTTCGTAAATGCTTATTATTATTCAAACAAACATTCCAAAATATAGCCTTTTATTTTATAATTTGAACAGAGAAATTGTTCAAATTCGGAATTTTACCACAGTTGGGGCTCGTGATTTTTTTAAAAAAAAATCAGATTTTTTTGATTTTTATTCAAATACACTGTAAGAATTTTGATTTATGACTAAAAAACTTTATAAATGTTTAATCAAAATTAAATTAATATTAAAACTATATTGTAAGAATATTATATTTTTAGCTAAGCTTTTGTACAATAAAGCTCTGACTACCTAAAACAATTTTTCATTANGATTATTCTATCATTTTTCCTAAAGTTGAATTTGTAAAGGTACCGTTAAACGGTAGTAAATTTGGCTTGGACAGACCCCTGTACTTTAACTATTAAAACAAAGTTTCAGTTAGCAAACCATAACTTTAATTTAAAATTGTGATTTCTTTTTTTTTTCTCTTGATTTTTAAAATGACAAAATAAATGTAACAGATTGTGTTTATAAATGTAGTTATTCCTCAAAAAATAAATCAATATTTAATCTATATATTTTTATATTAAAATATTCATTTTTAATCCTACCTCAAAATAGATAAGTTCAGCTAAAAAAATTTTTTAAAAAATCTATGTACTCATTGAAATTTTTTTTCAAAAATTTCTTTATTGAAATCTGATAATGTCAAAGATACTGTAAACATATTATTAGAAAAAAAAACCTTAAATGTTTACTTTAATCTGTACTTTCAATCTTAAGAATCAAAAGATTTTTAAAAAAGTAATTTCAAATGTGTTGGAATTTAACACACACCAAGAAAGAAAGTAATTTCGTTAGCTAAAATGAATTAATGCAGCAATAATAAATTTTAAAACTATTGCAGCAATTTAATTAAAATAAATTTTAAAACTAAGAAAATAAATAATAAAGGTATCAATAATTTGAAACACTGTTTTTTAACTTTTTAAATCAATATATATGTATAAAAATCAGTTGATTTAAATCAATGATTTAAAAAAAAATCATTTGATTTAAATCAACAAACCCTGTTACAGATCAACTAACATGTTGATCAGAGTTGCCACTGATATCTGTAAATAAAATTCCCACTGTTTTTCCTGCACAAATTATACACATTATGTTAATACACATTCACTGCACTCTTGTGAAGTATATTAGGATGAAGATGCTTGTTTTAGTTGATTGAAAAATAAGAAACAGCTCAACATAAAACAAATAATGAAATAATATAATATAGATGAACAATCATCTTTAAATATCTCATAGATTGCAATTTGAGAGGTGTGCATTTTTTTAAAGACAAAAATAAGAAATAAAATTCCCTCATTTTTTTCTAGTTTGTTAGGAAAAATTCCCTGCATTTTCCCTGTTATTTTAGCTGATTTTTAAATTCCCAGTACAGGGTGAGTAGCCAAATCTTTTTTTTTAAAATTAAATATTTTTCAGAGACTTTACATGATCACGATAAAATATTTAGTTTCAGACAAAGAACTCTTTTTGTCGATTATATTAACCATTATAAAATGATCAAGAGATTTTTCGGTTCGATATTAGAGGGCGGAAAATGAAATTGAAAATATCTTGCAGAATGCAGCAGAGTTGCACAGGAGAGAGCAATAATCTCACCAAATCCAGCTCAGTAGACACACACACAGACTTGCAAGTATTTCATCAAACATGTAAAATAATTGGCGCTTTCATACGCTGCAGACCGACAGTAAGCCAAAATGGATTGTGGTTCAATGAATTGTGAAAATTTTGGATAGAACAATATAAAAAGCCCGCTTTTGCATAAAACCATGTGGCGAAGAAGAAAAATATTTTTGAAAAGAAAAAATTAAGCACTTTTTAAAAACATCCAATGAAAAAAGCACCTTTAAGGGCTTCTAAAATACAAAAATCGAAAATATGCACTTTTTTAAAACGCTATGCACCATGCTGTATTTTCCAGGTTTTTCTTATTCTCCCTGTGAAGTGGCAACCTTGTTTAAAAATGTAACATTAACTAGAGTCAGAAAATGTAGATGCACGCTGTGCACGGATACATTGGTAGAGATTTAACAATGTTGTGGATTTTTTAAAATATTTTTTGTAATATTAAAAAAAATAAGCATGAAAAAAAAAGTTTACAGGTAAAACAAGATTATTTAGTTGAACAAGATTATTAAGTGAGCTGATGTAAAAAGATAAAACTGTTCATTTAGCTCAAAAATTAGTGATCCCATGGTAAGCAGGCTAGCAAGCAACTGGACACGGCTATTGCTGTACAATGAAAATAAACAATTACGGTGACAGTAGCAAAACTTTTTAATGTAATTTCCTTTGCTAATAAAAAAGCAACATAGTTGCTAAGTTTGACACGAAAAGTTAAATAATGATTTTGCGGTTAAGAATTACGGGAGCAAAATTATTAATATTCCTTCATATGATAATTACTTATTACTAAACATACCAACACTTCACAATACAATACAACATACAATAATCAGTCTTTTGAGCGGTTATGGTACGTTTACTGTTAGTATGAATGCAGATATTATACACAATATATTAAGAGGAAGCACAGATTCACTGCACTCTTGTGAACTATATAAGGATAAAGATGCTACTTTTAGTTGTTGGAAAAACTTTGAGGTAACAAGAAGCAGCTCAACATAAAACAAATAATGCTATAATAAATGAAATAACATAATGTAGCTGAACTATCACCTTTAAATATCCCATAGATTAAGCTTTGAGAGGTCAGTATTTTTTTAAAGACAAAAATAAGAAATAAAATTCCCTGCTTTTTAAGGAAAAATTCAAAATCCCCAGCACTTTCAAATGATTTTTAAATTTCTTCTATTTTCCAGGTTTTCCCTGTAGAGAAAATAATATTGAGATTTTTTTTAATACAAAACTAAAACTAAAATTCAATATCATAATAAAAATTACCGAAATATATCTCGTCTGCTGCTTTTTTTCCACGTAGAGGAGAGAATACCATCCAGAGAGCAAGATAAACTATCTTCTATATCTCTCTCAGAAAGCTTAACAGTGACAGAAGAAATAGTGTCTACAGGATCAAGTGGAAAATCACATAACTGAATTGGAAAGAATTGGTAAAATCAGTTATACACAAATGCAGTTCTCACAAAATCTATCAACACAGTGCAAAAATGTTTCGAAGAAATTGCTAAATTTAAGAGAACGCCATACAACGGGAGAAATTTTTATCGCAAATTCTCTTTCACCATCATCACCAATGGCTCGACAACCCAGGCTGGGCCTTGGCTTTCTCAAGAAATTTTTTCCAGGCTAACCTTTTTCCTGCTAGTGTTTTCCAACTTTTAATTTTTAAGACAAAAAGGTCTTTTCTAGGCCATCTATCCATCTCAAATTCGGCCTGCCTCTTTTTCGTGTGCCAACTGGTCTGGCATCGAAAACTCTTTTTGCGGTACGGTCTTCGTTCATTCTGATAACGTGGCCTGCCTGTTTTATTCTTCGTCGTTTAATAATGTCAGGTTCATTATATGAGTGACAAGCTCTAGATTTGATCTTCTAAGCTACACATTTTTTTGTTGACTTCTTCCAAAAATACTTCTTAAGACCTTTCTCTCAAAGTTACCCAATATAACCTCATCCATACAAGATAGGGTCCAGGTTTCACAAGCATATGTTAAAATTGATTTCAAAAGAGATTTATATAATAAAGCTTATAATAAGTATCAATTCATATAATAATGCTCCTTCACCTCAATAACTAATTTAAAGTATAGAAAAAGGGAGTTCAGACAAACCTAGAGTAAGCCAAGAAGTTTCAAATACTGAAAAGAAATTTTTAAAATATCAAAATTGAAATAAATTCTGAGAAGATAATTTAGGATTTCGGAATGGAGAAATTCTCTTCCAATAATTTTTTTTGCATTTTGATATTTCAAATTTTTTTTCAGCAATTGAAAATTCATGGCTTACTATAGATTTGCCCTGAAGTTTATTGTAATATTTGCCTGAACTCACTTTTTCTTTCTTTTAAATTATGGAGGAGAAATAAAATTTGTGATGAAAAGTTTCTCCCGTGGCATGGCATCCTATTAAGAAAATGTTTGATAGTTTTGTATTATAATCAACATAAAGTTTTATAAAAATGAAAACATTGAAAAATATTTTTTTGAATTAATTTTATCAAAATTAGGTGCCATCAAAGAGCTTGAAACCAGTTACAAGAGTCAGTAAATTGCTTGCTAAAAGCTTTTTAACTGAGATTTTGTATTCGAAGAAAGTTTATCATTTTATATAAGTTTGATGCAACTGTAACCATTTCAAACACGGTAAAATATGCCGCATATAATTTTTAATCAGATTTATTTAAATAGTTTTTATAAAAAATATTTTCATTAATCAACAGGGTCTATGCACATATGACTTTGAAATTCTTAGAACTTTTTCTAGAGAAAATAATTTTTCTCCAGGATGACAAAAATAAGAATAATTTAAGAACTTGAAATCTTTACAGGGTGCGTAGTCAAATTTTTCAACAGAAATGAAGCACGTTTTAAAAAAAAATATCATAATTAGGCAAAATGCACACTAATAAAAAATTTTCTTCAAATTGTTGAAAGTTTTTCATAAATATATTAACAAAATGCAATAAATTTTTTTAAAGATTATGATAAAACAAGTAGTTTCTGATAAGGAATTCTTTTCTTGATTATATTAGCCACCATAAAAACAATTTATACAGAATTTTAAATATATTCAATATTGAGAGGCTCATTCCATTTTTTAAATGAATAATTATTTTATTTAATTATATAAAAATATCAATTTGTTTTAAAAACTATCATACAAAGACTAATATTTAACTTTTTTCATTTGCTCGAGATAACACCGGATAGTAAACTAACGATAAATTAAATGTTCTTTACACATAAAAAATTAAAACTTTTGAATTATGTTTTGTTTTAGTTCCTTGTATTTATTAATAAAACTAAAAAAATACGTTGATTTTTTGCTTTTTTTTTTCAAAAAATTTGGCAAGGGAAGGGGTTAATGAAAAAAAAATTGGGGTCGGCTGGCAATTGACATACACTTTTTTTAAATCACCATTAATTATATTTAGTCACCTCGTGTCTGCATGCTACCATTAATTTTGCTGATAATTAAAGAACTGTTTTCAATTTTCATAAACAAAATCTTTCCCTTAAAGGTGCTCTTATTAAATTTTTAAACAAAGAAAGTTTACTATAATCTGCAACATTAAATCAAGAGTGCATAAAATTTTGATAAGTATTCTTAATATTAATTTTTATATTTAAAATGGCTTGAATAAAAAAAAAAATTTGCAACTGCTAAAGAGAATGAAATTACCCAAACAGATGAGACAGGCATATTTTGACTGACAGACCTCCAACAAGTATGAACTGTGGTATCATTAACATACAACTTTAAATTCTGAGAGTTAACCTAGAAGAATTAACAAATCAGAAGCTGAAACATCAAAACTGGTATTTATGATAGTGTTCAGANTTAATTATATTTAGTCACCTCGTGTCTGCATGCTACCATTAATTTTGTTGATAATTAAAGAACTGTTTTCAATTTTCATAAACAAAATCTTTCCCTTAAAGGTGCTCTTATTAAAATTTTAAACAAAGAAAGTTTACTATAATCTGCAACATTAAATTAAGAGTGCATAAAATTTTGATAAGTATTCTTAATATTAATTTTTATATTTAAAATGGCTTGAATAAAAAAAAAAATTTGCAACTGCTAAAGAGAATGAAATTACCCAAACAGATGAGACAGGCATATTTTGACTGACAGACCTCCAACAAGTATGAACTGTGGTATCATTAACATACAACTTTAAATTCTGAGAGTTAACCTAGAAGAATTAACAAATCAGAAGCTGAAACATCAAAACTGGTATTTATGATAGTGTTCAGAGTTTTATTACCTGTAGAGGTTCAGAAAGCAACACAAGGATTGATTTTTCAGGTTTAAAGACACTAACGTTTAGAATTTGAAGAATTGAATCTGAAAAACACCAGGATTTAAAATTGAGTCATATTTTAAAAAAATGCTATTTATAAAGTAGATACAATCAACTTTTGTTTTGGAAATTGATACAGAATATTTTTGTTATGGTACTTTTAAGAACAAAACTCAAAATACCAGATTCAGTGATTAAAATCTTGTACAATTATTAATACAGAACTCAAACTCCCATTTCAGCGATTGCTTTTTGACACATTTGATTCACATGACGAGTTGCATGGGTGTCTACAAGGAGGGCAAGTTACCGTAAACAATTTTGAGATTTTTTGAATTTTAAGGGGAATATTTATAAAAGATTTTTTTGGGATAGGGAAGATTTTTGCAAGTCAAATTATTATACTCTAATTGAACAACTTTACAATCATATAAAATGAAAACACATTTATTTTTAGCGAGTTAGTTAAATAGTTGATTTTTTTCTTTTTAAGGGTTATCTTTAGAAATCCTTTTAGAAAATTTTTTCAGTGAGAATTATTTTTAAAGCAAACTCAAATTTATATCTCAAATCATAATTTTAAGGGGGATATTTATAAAAGATTTTTTCGGGATAGGGAACATTTTTGCAAGTCAAATTATTATACTCTAATTGAACAACTTTACAATCATATAAAATAAAAACACATTTATTTTTAGTGAGTTAGTTAAATAGTTGATTTTTTTCTTTTTCTTTTTAAGGGTTATCTTTAGAAATCCTTTTAGAACATTTTTTCAGCGAGAATTATTTTTAAAGCAAACTCAAATTTATATCTCAAATCATATCTCAAATTTACAATTACATAAAATAACAAAAAAAGCACAATTGTAAACAGCTATTTAGTTTGACTGGAGCATCAATTTTTAATTCTTGTAGGGATGGAATATTTTGCAAAATACCTCAAGGCGGTGGGGATTTTTTTTCTTTCCATTTTTATTTCACCTTTGTAATATCTGAAAATGTTTAAGTGAAGAAAGAGGTGCAATGTATTGTATATATATTACCTAGCTGTAAATCATTAATACGAACTACATATTAAAATATATGTTTCATTAAAATAAAAAAATTTCATCCGAGCTATTTTAGGAAAATAATTTTTTTGCTTGCACTTCCCACTCTCTTAATACAATAAATATTCGTTGCAAAAATAGATAATTTGGCGCCTTTGTAAATAATTGTTTACAGAGCACTTCGATATGAAAATGTATTTAATTCAGAAATAAATTTTTGAAATATTTAAAATTAAAGCTTAAGATTCCTTTTACATCATAATTCAGTTTAGCGAAAATTAGAAGTGGCAGATTAAGAATTCTTTGCAACAATGTTCTTTGCAAAATGTGTAACGCATTTATTTAACTTTAAATTTTGAATTATTATTTAATTATAAAATAATTTTTTCCATTTTGTTATTACATTTCTCAGCTTTTTTGATATGAGGAAAAAACTAGTCGCAGAAAAATTATATTTTATTGTATTCATTTTCTCCTTCGTTCTCTTTCCAAGATACCTTTAAGCATAAAGTAAGTGATGTTTATATACTTACTTTTTCCTAAGAGCCACCTGTGATAAAACCATACACTTTGATCATCAGGATCGGTAAACGCGGCATTTTGTATCAACTCAAACTCTGTAAAGAAAGAAACAAAAATTTATTTCAGTCAAGATAGGAAAATCATGATTTTTAAAAAAAAAAAAAAAAAAAAAAAAAAAAAAAAAAAAAAANAGGATTTTTTAAAAAAAATAATCAATCAATGCTACCATAAAATGAATTAGGAATGCTTAAAATTACAGTAGAGTCCCGATTATACCAGTTAATGTGGATCACGACTAACACACCAAAGAGCTCGGTTAAAAAGAAGAGCATAAAAAAAAAGGAAAAGAAAGAAGTGGTATAAATGTCATACATTTAACAGCGCGTATAGCCAAATCCTTAATCAAAAAAATAAGCACCTTTTAAGTACATTTCAAGCACTCACAAAATATTTTTCACCGCTATCTACATTAAAAGAATGCAAAATAATTTTTAGACTTTACATGATAAAATATTGCAAAACATTTAAAATGATTGGCGCTTTTATACGCTATGGACTATCGGTATGGCAAAATGGAATGTTGTTGAATGAATTGTGAAAACATTGAATAGAACAATGTGAAAAGCAGGCTTTTACATTGCATGGCGAAAATCGACATGGTAAAGAACTAAAACCTCATTTTCGAAAAGGAAAAACTAAGCACTTTTTAAAGACACCCAATGAAAAAAGCACCTTTAAGGGCTTTTTAAAAACAAAAATAAGCACTTTTTAAAAACGCTAAGCACCATGTATTAGTCATATTTATTTAAATATTTAAGCAAGCAATAATCTGTGTGAAAATTCTATATAAGTTGGGATTTTATTAGAAATCTGATTCAATTTGAGGGAATTTTCTAAAATGTACAAAAATTAGGAGAATTTTTATTGAAGAGAATTATATTAGTTTAAAATCCAGTAGTCTACTGGAAAATCCAGTAGAGTTGGCAGCTATGTAAAAATAAACTAGAAAAAAATAATACTTGAAATATTTTATAGCTCGGTTACAGCGAAAACTCGGATAATCGGGCCTCTGCTATTTCTAAAAATAACATAATTAAAATAGTTGATATTTCTTACTAAAAAATTTTTAATTGCTGAATAAAGTTATTTTTATTTAAGCCATTAAAATATTTTAGATACTCCTATGGCAGAATTTTTTTGGGCTTTCTGCAACAAATTTCCCTGGCACTTTAAGATATTTTTAATTATAACAATCACTAATTTAACGTAATAGAAACGTTATGTTTACAGAAGAAAGTGTAAAATAAAAATTTTCATTTTAAAAGTAATATTTTTTTAATTCTAATATTATAGGCGATATTCTCGCATTCTGTGGGAGGAAAATTCGAATTTTTTAAATCATTACACAAATTAGAATACGTAAATAAATCAAACGATTATGAATTTAAATTTGTACTTAAATTGAAAATCGTAAAATCCGTGCAGAATTCCCAAAATAAAGAACACCAATCACTCGAATAGGACTCTTTAAAAAAGAGATACTCAAATAAGCAAATGAAAATATGGTGTTCTATAAAGAAAAAAAAATGAAAGAAAGAACATTTCTAGACCAAACTATCTTTTAAACTATCGCGATTTCTGAATTTTTTATTTTATATTATTAATTTGGAATTATAACTAAAGCCAGTTATTACCGATTTTTTTTTAAAAATCTTAAATGAGAATAGAAAAATCATGATTATTTCTTTCCTCTCTGATGCACAAGAAAGACATCTTTCAAAAAAAATTCTGCAGAAGAAAAATTATTTTTTTTTGAAAAATTATGTAGAAAGGAAAGCCAAAAAATTTTCCCTTTCCAAAATGAAAAATCTTTCTGCAAAAACATTGTAGCATTCTGTGACAGTGTCGCCGCAATTCTGCCACGGGGTTAGATACTGTACAACAGTTCTGGACTCTACTGGCCGCTATGTAAAATAATTACCTTTCAGCAATACATTTTCTTTGATGGATCCTGTTACAGTATCCAAGTGAATAATGGGTAACAGTTTACTGCGGTAATGCCAGGCAGAATAATTGGAGAAGTTAGACTCTATTAACTTGCTCGTGTACTCTAACTCTTCTTCAGGTGAGATAAGGCATTTCTTAGCAACAAGGCGGCGATAATCCCAACAATGAACTACAAAATAATAATTAGTTGTAAATGTTAGTGTGCTAATCAAGTTTTAGACAAGAATTTTTCTTTATATATAGCGATTATAATTATTTAATTATTATTCAATCAATATCATTAAACCTAGTTCTAAATAAAATAACATTTAATTACAGTTGCGTTCATCTTGAGAGAGGAAAAAGTTGCAAAGTTTCAACTCTCGCTTCCAATCAGCATCAGGATTGAATTCCATGACCCAGAAACGATGATTCCACGTGGAATAGGATTTAGGATTGACTTTGAGGCAATGTTGAGTGAGATCCAATTCCAAGAGACTAAGTTTCTTCAGCTCCTCATCATCCCTAGTTTGATTTGGAAAAATACAAACGAAAATATTAATCCTTTCGCGACGAATAATTTTTTTTACAACAGAACAATTTTGGAAGCATAAACTATGAGTAAGGCAGCATTATGCACGGTAGTGCCATGTATGTTCTGTGAATGAAAATACCTTCAAAAATATTGGCAGGACTGGTGGGAAAGTCTCCCATTAGACAGGGAAGGGTTTCTGTCCCAAAATATTTTTTTGAAATTTGCTTGGGACGTATGTGTCCCGTTAGGCTCGAAAGGGTTAAATCGGATTTTGAAGGTCATTGAACAGGATTATCACTCAAATCTGGAGGGAAAAAAATTCCCTGTGTTTTCCCTGTACATATTATACACAATATATTAAGAAGAAACAACAATTGCTGTGCTCTTGAGTGAGTTATAATGGATTAAATATATTTATTAGTCTTAATTGCTGGAAAAACAGCTGAACATACTTTAATGCTCCAGTAAATGAAATAGTTTAGTATAGCAGAAATATCATTGTTAAATATCCCATAGATTACGCTTTGTGGTCATAGATTTTTAAAAGAAACAAAAATTAGAAACAAAATTCCCTGTATTTTCCCAGTTTGCAAAAAAAAAAAAAAAAAATTCCCTGCATTTTCTATATTATTTTAGGCGATTTTTAAATTCCTGTATTTTCCAGTTTCTCCCTGTTGAGTGGCAACTCTGTTAAAGCATGCACAAATGTAAAACCAAACAGACAATTTCTCTACTATTCAAAGTACTTAAAAAATTTTTTTAAATATATTTTAACATGTTGCAATAATTAAATTTAATGATGATTTTAATTTGCTGATGAGGTATTAAATTATCTGAAAAGTTATATGAATGACGATGATGCCATACAGGTTTTGGATTAAATTTTAGGTAGTTTAATCGAATTTCTTCAAAATATTGATTATCCATAATTTGGCTTTAAAAGGAAAAACAACAGCAATTTCCTTTTTCCACTTTTAAAATAAATTTATTATAAATGCTTGTGCAATGTGTAAAATAAAAAAAAAAAGAGAACGCCTAAATAACTTTTGAGCAAACGATCAGATTTTCATATTCTAACATGCAATCTGCATGGATTGGTCAAATACACACCAATAAATAGGTGAAACAACATTTAAAGTTACATAACTAGATATAAAAACGCAATTTCTCTGAATAATTTCCCTCCCAGAAGCTCTAGACTGTCACAATTAGGGGGTAGATTCAAGGTATTGATTTAGGTAGGAAAGTAAGTAAAGTTTTCTAAAAAAATATCATTATTAGCATTATTTTGTAAGAAACTGGAAAAATAAAAAAACTCAAAGTAGTATAGTCTATTAATTATTAATATACGTGATATTCCCATTCTAAATCTTACTTTTAATTAATAAAGAATGTACAATTTTTAAAATGAATATCAGCTGAGAGAATAATATTGTTAAAGAAAAACTACAAAATACTATTCAAATTTTGGTAAAATTTGTTCATGCTTCAGTCGAAGTTTTACAAGATATAATTGCAATACATTTATTTATTTTGAGTCTCTCTGTCTAATATTTTTATATTGTGTTTCAATGTTAGTTGCAGGAATTTTTCAGGTTCCTTCTAATAAAGCGATTTTCCCAAGGAATTCAGGATAAAGTTGAAAACAAAATATTTGCTGTAAAGTTATACTTATTTACCATTCTTCTTGTTAAGTGTTATCCTTATCTGGAAGATTTATTGTTGAGTTAAATATGTTCATTTATTTCTTTTCTGCCCATTCATTTAATATTTTTTGATCATCCATTGATTCAAAAGTTGTTTTAGACTACTATTTTGAGAATATATATATATATATATATATATATATATATATTAGTTTTTAAGGAAACAGAGTAAAGTTTGTATTATTTTTCTAAACTGTTAATTTCAAGACCATTCTCTAAGGTGAGGAAGAGAAGATCCTGTAATTCAGGACTATTGAGGGCCCCACTTGAAAAGATTTCACTATTTACACACAAAATAAGTCACAGTGCGTAGCCAAATCTTTCAATAAAAAAAAGCACTTCTTAAGTACTCAAAAAATATTTTTAAGCACTATATGTAATAACAAAATGCAAAATAATTTTCAAAGACTTTACACGATCTAGATAAAATAACTAGTTTCTGACAAAGAACTATTTTCTTGATTATATTAGCCATTAAAAAATAATCAAGGGATTTTTCAGTTTCATTTCAGAGGGTGGAAAATGAAGTCTGAAATGGAGAATATCTTGCAAAATGCAGCAGAGTTGCACATGAGAGGGTAATAATCTCACCGAACCCAGCTCAGTAGACGCGCACACGGATTCACAAGTATTTTACCAAACATGTAAAATGATTGGCGCTTTCATACGCTATGGACCAACAGTATGCCGAAATGGATTGTGGTTGTATGAATTGTGAAAAATTTTAATAAAACAATGCGAAAAGCACGCTTTTGCATAATTAGTGGCGAAAATCGACATGGTAAAGAAAAAAAATCTCATTTTCGAAAAGAGAAAATTAAGCATCTTTAAAGCCTTTTAAAAAATGAAAATAAGTACCTTTAAGCACATTTTAAAAACGCTAAGCACCATGTAAGTAAATATAAGAAAATTAATTCATACTTTTCAAATTTCGATTTTGAAAATTATTTTTATCAATACTATTAGAAAATAAGACATTGATATTCAGAAGAATACCTATATTTTTGTTTGAATGACAATGATATTAATATGAACACAGACTGCAGTACAAAATAAAAAAAATTATGTTAGGTAAATGATATTCTTGTTAGTATCAGATAAATGCAATAAAATAAAACTCAAATCATTGGAAACAAAACTTGTTTAAAAAAAAAAATTCTATAAATAAACCTTTAATAAAATACAAAACCTATTTGAGAATAAAAATGTTAGTAACTTTTGATCTTTCATGCGCAGCAATGTCTCTCTTCTATAATTCCAAAAGGTATAAAAATCGGGATTCTTTTCAAGAATGCCTCGAGTAAGTTCTAATAATTCCTCATCCAACTCATCATTCTTTCTCTGAAAAAGAAAAAAAAAAACATTACAAATCATTTAATTTATTTGAGAAAAATAAGAACTAAGAAAAAAAAACTTTTATTAAATATTTAAGAACTAAAAATATCTAGTAAAACAATGAGAAAAAAAAGTGTACAATTACTGAAGTGTAAATGAACGCATACTAACTTAATAAAAAAAATAATATTATATTCATGTCTGTGCGTGTGTGTGTATATATATATCTTCTTCATAAGTGCAACAGCCTTTCACAGGCCAAGGCTGACTCGCAGATTTTCCTCCATCTGGCCCTGTCCGGTGCGACGGCCTGCCATCGGTTGACTCCCAATGTATATATATACTATTTTGAAATATAGCTAGATTTTTTTAATTTAAAAAAAAAGTTGGATTAACTAATGGTGAAATTAAGAAACTACCGTATATTCCGGCGCATAACGCGCCCCGGCGTATAACGCGCACCCGTAATTTCTAATTACTTTTTTTAAATTTTAAGATATACTCTTCGTATAACGCGCACAAAAATTTGGATTGTACATGCGTAATATCTCGTCTTTCAAGATCTGAAATAAAAAGTATTTTTCCCTATCTTTTGCAAAAATAAAAGAACTGAATTTGACATGTATGTGAGGGTAGAATTGAAAGAGCAATAATGTGATTCTGGATGGACAAAAATGGTGTTAAATTGTGGGTAAAAAACATCTGGCAAATCAGTCCTGGTTGCGTTAGAAAACCACAAAGCCTTTTAGAGTGGGACATGTTTAGGTCCCACCTTACAGATAATACAAAAAATTTTTTAATTATAATACAAAAAAATTTAAATAATTGTAATTGATAGCGGAAGACAAATATAATGAACTCTTTATGTAATAACGAAAATCAATGAAGTATATAGGTAAAGTTATGTTATTTCTTTAAAATAAAAGTATTTTTCTATATTTAAATTTTTTTAATCCATAATTTTTTATATTCGGCGTATACCGCGCACCCGTAGATTCCAATGTTATTTTTTGTATTAAAAGTGCGCGTTATACGCCGGAATATATGGTAACACATATTTGCATTAATTTTTTTGAAAAAGGAAACAAGTTGTAGTAATGTTGGTTAAAGTAACAAAGTTGACAGAAACCAATTACAATCAAAGGTCGTAGTTCAAAATATTGAAGGATATCAACACATTCACAATTTATATTTTAGCATGCTTAAATTATTTTAACATGTTTATATTTTAGCATATTTCACCTTTATAAAAATTTTAGAGGTCACTGAAGAGTAGATTTTTAGCTTTTCTTGTTGTTCCTTCTTTTTGGCCTCTGCTTGCTCCTCGCTAGTTCTCACTTTTACTCTGCCATGCTGAAGTAGGAAACAAAATTATTATGAATTTTCAATATTTATAACAAAATAATTATATTAATTTATTTTTTATTATTACAGAACTGTATCAGCAATTCAGAGCTCTGCTTATTAACAGATCAAGATACACCAAAAACATATTACTATGTCAAACAGTTGATTACCATATGAATTCAACATAAAAATATATGAACATAACAAGGATGCAAAGGATATCTAGCAAAAAGTATGTTTTCGGACGATCCAGCCAGTTAATAAAACAGTAGCAGGACATTATGATTATTCTGCAGCAGGGTTTGTTGATTTAAATCAGCTTGATTTAAATCACAATTTAAATCGTGATTTAAATCAAATGATTTTTTTAAAAAATCATTGATTTAAATCAACGGATTTTTTTTAATATACATATTGATTTTAAAAGTTAAAGAACAGTGTTTCAATTATAGATAGTTTTATTATTTTCTTTTCTTAGTTTTAAAATTTATTTTAAATAAATTGCTACATTAATTAATTTTAGTTAACGAAATTACTTTCTTTCTTGATGCGTGTTAAATTCCAACACATTTGAAATTACATTTTTAAAAATCTATTGATTCTTGAGATTGAAAGTACGGATTAAAGTAAACATTTAATGCTGTTTTAATATAGACTTGCATAGCTGTAGAAAGTAATTAATAAACATTATTTTTTTTTTAAAAAAAATGCAAAATAATGTTAATTAAAATTCTACCTTTTAATTGAAAAATCATGGAATTAAAATCTACATTATATTTTATTATAATCTAATTTATTGAAAGTTAATATTTTAATATAAAAATATATAGATTAAATAGTTATTTATTTTTTGATGAATGACTACATTTATAAACACAATCTGATACATTTATTTTGTTATTTCAAAAATCAAAAGAAAAAAAAAGAAATCACAATTTTAAATAAAAATTATGGTTTGCTAATTGAAACTTTGCTTTAATAGTTAAAGTTAGCGTTTAGCGGTATCTTCACAAATTCAACTTTAAGAAAAACTGTCGAATAATTTCACAAAATATTTTTTCCTAAGATATTATTTTCTCGCTAATTTCTCCCTAAAATATTATTATCTCGTAAAAAACGATAAATCCATATTTTTACAATATTTTTGTGTTAATTTTTTTACATTATTTTTTATTTTCACAAATTATGTTTAAATTTTCACGAAATAGGTCTCAGAAAAACCTAAACAGACCCCCGAAGTACTCTTTAAATTCTCTATTTCATCAAGTATTTAAATTTCAATCATGCATTTGTTCCAAAATGGCAGCCATGCATTCAAAGCTATGATATAGTAAAGAGCTCCTAAAATATAGTTTTAATGTTAATTTAATTTTGACTAAAAATTTTATAAAGTATTTTTAATCCTAAATGAAATTTCTTACAGTGTATTTGAATAAAAATCAAAAAAATCTAAGTTAAATAAAAAAAAGCGGAAGAAAAAAAAATCACGAACCCTGTTCTGCAGTAACATTTAGCCCAAAATTATGTATTGTAGAAAAATGTATTAAATAATAACATATGTATAATGTAAACAATACTTAATAAATAATTCACACTAGAAAATGTAATTTTATACTGAAATTACATTTCAATTCTACCACCCCTGTTATTATCAAGTTAACATTTCAAAACTGAAACTGTATTACGGAAAAATCATATCCGCGGATCTTAATAACCGTAAACATTAAGCAAATGAATCAAAATGCAATTTTAAACAATGATTTTGATTCACAGTCGCATTTAACTCTGCAATCAAAGATAAAAAATAAATAACAGCTTATAAATGATAGGCGACTACTACATACTAAGTTAAAAATATTGAAACTAATAAAAATACATATTTGTCTTTTTAAATTATTTACGAAATAGAAAACAATAACAAACCATTATGAAAAGTTGCTATAAAAGATTATAGGAAAATTTAAATAATATTTTTTTATTTAAACAATAATTTTTTATTTAAAGGAATAATCTAACAAAACCAGATAACAACAGATTTCTTTCTGTTATCATATAACTCTGCTGTCTTATGTGCTCAATTGTATAAGTACGGCTTATAAGCCTTTGTCTCTTTCAGACGCTCTCCACGCTTCTCTCGGCTAGGGAAGCGCCCAGGATTAGTAATGGTTTGGATGCGATTATATGAATACGGATTGATATATACGATTTCGAAAGTTAATCGAATTATATCGATATGCAATTGTAAACAAAAAGAATAAGATTTACTGTGAAAAGTTAGTGTTTTTTTCGTAATAATTTCTATTTCCAATCTATTTTTTTTAAATTCAGCTAATACTTTCTTCTGATTCATTGCTTTGCAGTTTTCTGAACATTTATATTTGTTGGTGTGGTAGGTTTGCAGTTATGGCGGATCAAAATCAGGCATCTACTCAAAAGTCTTCTCAAGAAATGAAAACCGAATTGAATAGGAGTGCTAGTGGAGAACCCTTGCCTGATCCTAAAAGTATTCATGACTTAACCCAATATGTAAGTCTCTAATGTTTTTACTATTAAAAATTCCTGTTCTTTTCACGATAAAAAGATTTTATTAGGACATCAATCAGGGGTCTGTCTAGGCCAAATTGACTACCGTTTAGCGGTACCTTAACAAATTCAACTTTAGGAAAATCTGTAGTTTTACAAAATACTTTTTCTTGAAATTTTATTTTTGTTTTCCTTAAGAAACTAAAAATCCATATTTTTACCATATTTTTGTGTTGATTTTTTAATATAATAATTAATTTTGGGGATATTTTCACAAATTATGCCTACATTTTCACAAATTATATCTATATTTTCACATAATAGGTACCTCTCAGAAAAACCTAGATAGACCCCTGATCATATAATATTGAAAGCAAATGTGTGCCCCTGTGGCAGAATTTTTTCCAGCTATCTGCGACAAAACTCTCTATCTCTAATATCTTTCTGCAAGATACTTTTAATAATAACAAACATATATGTTACAAATTTGAAATAACAAAAGTGCTCTGTATACAAAAAAACTAAATTTTTTAAAATTAAAGATGTAATAATTTTTTATTCTAATATTATAGGTGATATTCTTGCAATTTGTTGGGGGGGGGACACAGAAAGGTGAGATTTCCATATCGTGATCTGTGGCAGAATAATCGCCAAGTATTGAAAACTTGCGGGCCCCACGAGAAACTAAAAAAAACATCATAGAAAGGGACCAACTTGAAAGATATTACTCGTAGCCACCCCCAGGCAAGCATCCACATGTTTTTTTAAAAAAAATTCAAGTTTAAAATCTATTTTTCACCTTGGCAGTTGTAGTTGGCACGACAGAGCACGATGTGGAAATATCCCCCACAAAAATTATTTCCTCCTTTGCATTTTGTAAATAATTATCAGTATAAAAAATATAATTAAAAGTTATGAAATACTTAGTAGTAGTCATTGCCGAAAAAATGATAGAACTCTCGACTCCTCAAATGCGTGTTTCGTTTCAAGATTAGGTTGTTGTAATAAATAATAATGTATAAAAAATATCCGATTTAAAAACTATGGTGAAATCAATTGCCATAACTGATAAAAATGCGTTCATTGCCTTAAAAAGTATGTACTCAAATGCACGATTCGAATTTTTCCATATTGTTTGAAATATATCTGAATATTTTAAATCTACATGATAATTAATATCAATAACTGCCGAAAATACAATCGGAAACAATACATCGATTTACGATACTATCGCCGTAAATTGAGCGCATTGAAAAGTGATTACCTAAATGCATGATTCAAATATTATGTGTAAATTTCTAAAGAAAAGTAATCATTATTACTTTTCAAGAGAAAAATCATTCTGCAAGAACTCTGTAACGTTCTGCGAAAATGTCACTGTGATTCTGCCACAGAGTATATATATTTCCTTATAAAGTAGTAAATTAATGGTATAACTAAAAAATTTTGTTTAAAATTGGATGCCTCTGTAATTTTAGCAATTATATTTTTGAAGAAATAAGGGAAAAGGACTTAGTCAGATTTTCAAATAGAAAGAAATCATAGGGTGACCCGGGGTAATTCACAATCACTCTGTTTCTGGGGTAAATAATGATGACCTAAGTTTTATTTTAAAAAAATTATTTTTTTTAAAATTTGAGACATGGACAAGAATGCTTGTACACTTTACTAAAGTATAACTACATTTAGTTAATAATAGTTTTTTGTTTAATCTAACAAAATAAGTATCTTTTATACTGCTCTCTGTATTTTCCATTTCAAAGATGGGTTTCAAAATGTGCACATTTCTGCAAAGATCCCCCTCCTTCACTTAATAGTAAATATTTTGAGTTACTTTCTTTTTCTTTGATATAAAAATAGTGTACTAAGCTTTTGTTTAATTGTTTCACATCTACTGTAAACATTATAATCGATTATAGGAAACTCTATCAAATGTTGCCCCCTACAGATGGGGTAATTATTGATCACTGGGGTAATTCCTGATCATTGTCATTTCTTCTTATAAATAGTTTAAAAAATAGCTAATAAATAGTTAATTTTCTTTTCGTAAATAACAGTTCATATTTATTAAGTGGAACAACTATAAAATATATTTTAACTATAATCACAAAATTTGTTTTTAACTGTATACAAGACAAATGTGCTCTGATATGCACCATTTCTAGTTTGTCTTACCTTGCTTCTATCTTAATTTTATGTGTGTACATTGTTAGAATAATTTTTAAGTTGATAAATTAACCTAATATAAATATGGTGAGAAATTATAAGCTTGAAAAGGATACTAAGCTTCTAGAAAGCAAAAATAATGAATTTCTTTTAATGATTGAAAATGAAAATTTCAGTGTGAGAGCTGCTGCCAGAGCTGAAGAGTTAATCTTTATTCCTGCTTTTAAATAAAACGTTTTATTAGCAGCTTAAACATATCTTTTTGGTTTATTTGTTTGATCTTAATGTCTTATTTGTTAATTACCATTGTATAATTATTTTTAAATAGCCCATTTACTATAAAAACTTGTGATCAGTAATTACCCCAGAAATGATCAAGAATTACCCTGGAAATGATCAAGAGAAGGGGTAATTCCTGATTGCTAAAAATTTAAGATCTTTTAAATTCTAATTAGATTTTCAAACAAAAGAAGGTAGAATAGGACTCATCTCATATAGCTTCAAACTTCCAGTAAATATTAAAATTCTATCTTGAATAGTTTTTTCACAAAATAGATGTTTGCATTTTTTGATCAATAATTACCCCAGGTCACCCTAATAGAAATTATAAGTATATGAGTTATATTCAGTTAAAGTTACAAGATACATTGCAAATCCAATTCTACCATAAATTTTTAAGTTATAGGCTCCATAATGCGAATTTTGAAGATGAAAATTTATCTTCTAAAGTGAAAGATGGCTTGCAGAAAATTTCTCATACAAGGGTGGAAAAATTTAGTTGGTGGTCTAATGAACCAATGACTAGAAAATGCAACTAAACTAGAATCAGTGTCGTGACTGCTCATAGGGAGCAAAGGCCTATTGTGTCCATCTCAATTTTCTTTCAGCACCCCAGGGTGCTGAAGCAGGTGTTCCTGTTTGGCGATCAACTGAGCACGGAAACCAAGTCTTACCCTTGCATGCTTTGTACTCATTTTATCAACCCTCTGAAGAGATGAAAGTCTGAGTCAGCCTTGCCCGGCCTGAGGATCAAACCCAGGACCTGGGGCACAAGAGAGCGTAGCGCTCTACCACCCAGCTACCGGGCATTAGAAAATATTACTAGTCTCTATGCATATTCACTGGTCTATTTACGTGCCTTTTTTTAAAATAAAAAATAACAAAAAGAAATGTACTGCAGGGGTCTGTCCAAGCCAAGTTTACTACTGTTTAGCGGTATCTTCACGAATTCAACTTTAGGAAAAATGGTATTTTATTTTTGTGTGTCGTAAGAAACGATAAATCCGTATTTTTACCATATTTTTGTGTTGATTTTTTAATGTAATTTTTAATTTTAACAAATTATTACTAAATTTTCACAAAATAGGTACCTCTTGGAAAAACCTAGACAGACCCCTATACTGTTCATGATTTTAAGTGAATATTCTATTTTCTAACCAAAACAAGTAACCAAACCATTAGACCTGAAAATTTAAATTTTTAGATAGTAGCCAGTGGCCGGTAGACTTAAATAACTTAATCACTGCTTTTGGCAAACTTTTTTAAATTTTTTTCCTTGGATTAAATTATGTATCTTTAAAAAAAAAATTTTTTTTTATTGGAAATTATGTATGGTTATAAAAAGTGAATTCAACAATATAACCATATGCAACAAAATTCAGTTCAACATAAAGAGCTTTATTTAAAAATATTTAAGGAGGCAAAATACATTTAATGTATACATTACAACTGTGAATTGTTATAAAACTCTTTTTTCACATGAATCTTTCTTCCACAAATTGATGGATTCTGAAAGATCATAATTTTGAAAACGTAATTATCTTAATGATAATTATGTTTTCGAGAGTCTTTTTCAGCATTGATGTACTTTTATCATTGAACAATTTATTAGTGGGAAAAAGAGAGTGGTTGATTATTTAATTTAAGTTGTTACTTTTCTTGTTGACTTTTCCCATGGCAGATGAATATTTTCAGTTCTAGAAATCATGTTATAAAACTAAAATAGCATACCATCCCTTTACAACAATTGCTAGTTTTGAGGATCACTGAAAATTATTTTATGGTGGTTGGACTGAAATTTTATTGGTCTAGGAACTATTAATTTGAAGTCCAATGGTTCAACGGACCACCATTCATTTAGTAGTTCATTGGTTCAACCTGATGAAGTATTAAAATAATTCATAAACTGTGTTTTAATGTTTTGATTTCTGTGCATTTTCTAGAAATATTTTTTGATATTTGTGCATCATAAATTTTTGGCTAACTCTTTCACTAATTGGTTTAAAGTAACAAAATCAACAATATTTGATAGAGAATTCTTAGTTTGTTCAATTCTTTAATTAAATATTGTATGAGCGCAAAGTTCAAGTGAGGCATTCTGTAATTTTTAAATTTCAATTATAATTATTTTTTATTTTGAAATTTTTATTATCTTTTAAGTAGCAAAGAAATTAGTTATAGAATTGAATATAAAAAATATACTAGATTATATTCAATGTATGGGAAATATTTCAACTCCTTGACAAACAACATATTTTTGTTAAAAAACCATTTGATAGGACTGGTGATGTTAGGATTTTGGCATGTATGGTTATTCTAATATGTATTAAAAACTACAACAAAAAAAAATGAATCCTTAAATAAAAGTAAAACATTTACAATTAGTAAGTTGCAAAAATAAATTTCGTAAATGTAAGATGATAAAATAATAATAATGTAAAATAAATCTAATGTAAGTCATGTAATGTAATGTAATCAAAAACTAAATTTAAGTTGCAAAAAAAACAACAATAAAAGCGATTGAAACGTCACTTGAATTTACAATGAAATCGGCAAAAAGCAATAAAAAAGTAAAAGCATGAAGCAAGTCGAAAAATGATTACTTAAAAAAATGTAACTATACTAATTATAAAAAATGTACACTCAGAGCACTAATGTTTAAATAAAAATTATTATATTTACCGCCAACGTGACTAAGCGTACGACCCATTGTTAGTGAACCCGAAACCCAAGTGGCCTTTCAGTTAAAAAGGTAGTGCACCTTTATACCTAAATGAAGAAACTAAATCTTGAATATATTAATCATTAAATATTAAACAATTGTTTCGTAGTTTTAAATTATTTAATTTTTGTTTGCTTTTTATTTCAGGTTCAGAGTCTTCTTCAGCAGATGCAAGATAAATTTCAAATCATGTCTGATCAGATATTAGCTAGGAATATCCTTTTTTTATTTTAATAATAATAGTTTTATAATAATAGTTTTATAATTATAGTTGATCTAATATTTAGGCAAGTAGGCGCAAAATGCCTTAAAAATGCAATTGAAAAAATTAGGTTTGCAATGAATATTTGGTTTGGTCTAATAACAGGCTGTTTGTCTTGTCTAATAATTTATAATCTTGTTTGGTCTAATAATTTATAAATATGTACAAAGTTCTTGTTAAAAATTATGAGTTTTTTTTTTAAAGTTTTTTTCTTGTATTCTAGATTATTGTTTATTGATGTTCAGTAAGCTAGTTAGTATACTTTCGGCATGTATATGTGTTTCAACAATTAAAATTAAAAAATTAAATTATTAAATTTAAGCTCTCTTTATTTTAAATCTTAAAAAGCGTTCAAGTTGGTGCAAAATGCCTTAAAAAATGCAATTGAAGAATTAGATATGCAACGAGTATTCGGCTCAAAAGCCGAATATTCGGTTTGGTCTAATAATAAAATAAGACCGATCAGTCGAAGATTACTAATATTATTTACATTTATAATAATTTCAATTGATATATTTTAAATAACAGAGCTATTATATATATGAAATAATATATACGTATATATATATATGAAAAATATAAGCCCGCATACCTCCGCTTCCAGATTGCAATAAAGAAAATTCCACAGTCACAAACACTCGATCGTATAGGCACATGTGACATCGGTGACGTCGACGAGTGGGTCTAGGCTTGTTCACCAAGAGTTGGCCCTTGACTCCCCCTTCATCACGTGGTATGCGACAATCCTATTTCTCTATTTTTGGGAGAAGGTTGCTATTTGGCGATCGCATGGCAAGAATATTTATTTTGCGAACTTCATCTGCATTTGTTTAACATTTAATAAATTTCATGATAATTCTCTCTTTTGAGTGAATATTTTGCCCTTTTTGAGAGATTTTGCTGTTAAGACAGCAGTTTTTAAATTTAAAATACATTTAATTAGCTAGAGAAACAAAAGGTATAATAGCAAATGATAAAGCGAAGTAAGTGACTGAAAAAGAAGTCGCTATTTGTGTTTGGCTTGCATTAAGGGTTGTCTCAATTTCAAGCGCGGAGATGTTTCTTCTCTTACTCCCGCACTGAAATGAACTCTGCGCCCAAGGAGGTGAGAGCAAATACCAACTCCTGGTGACCGAACTATACTACGCCCGTCTTTGGTGACGTCGCCCAGAGGTCAAAATGAGACATTTACTAGTCACAGTCACTTCTCCGTTTGACAAAGACATGACATCTTGATGTCTGAACACAGTCACGGTGTGACATAATTACGTCTCAACAGGGTCTCAGCGTGACGAAGTTGTGACAAATTCACGTCTATACAGGGTTAACGAAAATGTGACATTTTCACCTGAACAGGGTGTCCGTGTAACTAAGTTCAGACGTCAATATATCACATCTTCACCGTGACAGTTAAATGTCTCAATGTGGTCTGATTTTGATGTCTGGGTGAAGTCAAAATGTGGCTTCACCCAAAGCGGACATCGTCACCTTTTTAGAGACCCACACATCGACATCGGTGACTTCACACATCGAGTTTCCTTGACAGTCGCATTTTTGTTGCAATGTGGTAACAGTGCTATCTGGGATTTATAAAATTTTGGAATTTGTTTTAAAAAATGTAATAGAAGGAACAGTGGCGTAGTTTTAATGTATGTTTGAGGGGGTTAACGCGATTATCTCCTTTTGTTATATGCATATATATATAGCTCAATAAAGACATAAAGGGTAGAAAAATGAGAGAAAAACGAAGAAAATTAATAAGTTCTTTTAACTGTGCATAAGCTGCAAGTATATGGAACTCATAAAATAAGTTTAAATATTGTGAAAGCATGGAAAATAATAAGGATTAATGAAAAGAGGAGAAAAAAAATTTATGTATCTTTAAGAAAAATAATAATAATAAAAAAATACTTATTAAAATTCTGGAAAAAAAAAAAGATATAATCTCATCATCAACGCACACAATTATATCCCTCCCCCAACAAAATTTTTTTTTTAAGTGCTCCTCACACAATTGTATTGATATATTTTGCTTTGGCTATATTGATACAATACTAGAAAGCACTCTTTTTGCGAATATGAAATGATGATGAGATTATACCTTTTTTTCTTTATTTTGTTTTCCCTAATTTGATTAAGTATTTTTTTAATTATTATTATTTTTTAAGATACATTAAAAAAAATTTATGTTTTTTAAAAATAATATTTTAATAATTTTTCTTTTCATTAATTTTTATTATTTTCCATGTTTTCTCAATATTTAAACTTATTTTACGAGTTCTATATACTTGCAGCTTATGCACAGTTAATAAAAATTCTCTGTTTTTCTCATTTCTTTTTATCTTTATTGTGCTATATATATATATATATATATATATATATATGTAGTGCTCCTCCTCTATTTTCCTCGTAAACTCTTTAGCCGTGGCTTTTCATTCATCATTATATTGCATTTTCTAGGATTTGCAGTCATATTTTAATATTCTTTAAATTCACTTGCCATTCCATTGGGTTCCGGGCAGAGAGAAATCCTGCCGGCTTTCCGTCCCAAGCAGAGAAGGGGCCGATAACGGGAGTTCATCAAACTTTTAATGTTGCATCTCTTAATTCCAGTTCATTCATTCAAAGCATAAATTCTTTTTAATATTCTTTAAATTCGCTTGCCATTCCATTGGGTTCCGGGCAGAGAGAAATCCTGCCGGCTTTCCGTCCCAAGCAGAGAAGGGGCCGATAACGGGAGTTCATCAAACTTTTAATGTTGCATCTCTTAATTCCAGTTCATGAGGAGGAGCACTACATATATATATATATATATACACATTATTTCGAAAAGGGGAAAAATTGTTTAGAAAAAATGTGTTTTGTTTTATTATTTTTGAATGAATTCTAATATGTAAAAGTATTTAATTGTCTGCAAAAATTTAGTGCTTAAAACACAAATGTTTATATAAAAATCAATTAATGTTTAATAACGGAGGGGGTTTTGTCCCCCAGACCCTCCCCAAAACTACGCCACTGATAATGTGTTCAGGAAGTGTGGACTGTAGGTCAAAGAAATAAATAGTATGACTCTGCATTATTGTTACAATAGCATTTTTAATTATTTTTTTCGTGTGTGTCTGAAAATAACTTGTGATCATTTTATAAAATAATAGCTCAGTGATTTTTTTCCTCAATATTAACACTTGATGACATGGGCCACCGAATCGACGATTTGGAAAAAAACATTGGAGACTTGATGATACAAGCTGGCGTCGAAGAAACAGATAAATGACAACGAAAGGAGACCGATTTTCATTGGTCATTTGAGTCGGACAGTGACCAGTAACTTCCTCATTTGGTTACCGGATATGAGTGTTAGATTGAAGTTACTGGGCTTGTGTTATTGTTTTCTTATAATTGTGTACATATATTCTTATAAAAGTCTATTCACACCTTCAATAGGAAACACTTTCGATTAAAATTCTCTTAAGCTGTATGATTGTTTGCATTTATTTCAATCTAGACTATTTTAGAATGTTTTTTTCTTTATCTCCCGAACAAATTTAAAATGGCATATCCGTTCATTGCTTTTTAAATAAAAGTGGAGCTTCAATTAAATAAACTCTTCCTGAATTTTTTTTTTTTTTTTCTAAATAAGTAAATAATGCCCTCAGGCATGTGATTTTTCCGTTAATTCGCGGAATTCCGCGAATCTGAATACCGTTGATTCGCGAATATTCTCTAATCAATTTGTATTCCGTCAAAATTTTCTCTTGATTCCCTAATCTAAAATTTAAATTGCGTTGTAACTCGTTCACCAGGAGTTGGCACTTGGCCCCGCCTTCATCACGTGGTATCCGTATGGCAAAAATACTTATTTCGCAATCTTCATGTCCATTTTTTAACATTAAATATTTCATAAATTTTATATTTCTCTCTTTTAAGTGAATAGTTTGTCCTTTTTGAGACATTTCGCAGCAATTTATTTAATTAGCTAGAGTAACGAAAGGTATAATAGCAGATGATAAAGCGAAGTAAGTGACTGAAAAGGAATTCACTGTTTGCGTTTGGTGCACATTAAGGGTTTTCTCAATTTTAAGCGCGGAGACGTTTCTCGTCTTTCTCCTGGGCTGAAATGAACTCTTTGCCTGAGGAGGTGGAGCCAAGTGCCAACTCCTGGTGAACGAACTATATTTGCGCAAGATCTCGTGGACCAGACATTAATTTATCATTATTTCTATACCATCTCAAACTCAGGAGGTGTTAATCAGTTATTATTGCTACAAGTTTTCTTTTTTCTTAGAAAATTTTTTTTATGCATAATTATTACTACGCGCAAAATTCAATTCGCTTTTTCACAAAAGAGGTTTTTATGCGGTGCAATCGAAAACTTACCAACCCTGGTGGGTATTAAAAGACTGGCCATCTTTCAGTCTGAGACGCGTGTATTTTAAATATCAAAATGTTTCATCCTGTCTGTGAGACTGGCACTTGCAGTGACTGTTATTCAATTTTTCATTGAATGATTCAATGCAAATTGTATTCATACAATTCCCTGTTTTAGATTAAATTTAATTCGAATTTTCCAATTTATCGAAGAAAAATAGTTTGATCTATATATATGCATTAAACTGTGTGTGTTTTTAAGAATGTTTATCTAAAGATTATATGAATATTAGTCTTATGAAATCATTTAATGAAATTTAATTATGTAGTTAAAAACAGTTTTGTGAAATTTTTCTATTGCTTATGTCTTGTAATAAATGTCTTGTTAAATAATTATTATGCATGATGTGTTACTTATAATTATAAGCTGATAGGACACATTGTAGTGCTGAATGACAAATTAAATGTATCGTCCTTCAAAATTTTGATCACTTCTAGATAGCTAGTAAATATTTACTAATGCAGTTAATTTCTCTTTTTTACTACGTATTAAATATTTAAATACACATTTATGCTCATATCTGTTCTCAATATTGTTCTTTGAGTAAATAGGAATTTCGCTATAGTTAGAAAATTATCTTTACTTTTAAATTTTAATTTCTCTTTCTGCAATATAGTATTTACCATACATGGTTATTATTAACTTTTATTTCTGCAAGCTATTTGCTGCTACTTGCAAAGAAGAATTCTTAAATATTATATTATATTATATTCGTCGTTGAACAGCCGACCCAATTTTAGGTTTATGACTACTAATGTTCAACTCCGCAGCCTCGTAATTTTGAACCAATCCAGAAGACAAGGAAACTCCTGGATCAGTACCCCCAGAAATATTGATTTGTTATGGGAACATGGAGGACTTTACGACTCAACAGATTTAACATGCACCAGTCACCATTTACTACACGGGGAGTCTTCGGGACATGGGCCCAGTGCCCATAAAGAAAAGTAACGCTTAAATGCAGAAGTAACACGTATGAAAAGAAAACGCGTAAAATATTCCAAAGACTAAAGTAAAGGTGTACAGCAACAGTAAAAATACGACAAAGTAAATGTAAGATATAACGAAAAGCCGCGTGTATAAAGAGCAAAAGCCCAAGGTCAAGAAAACTGAGATAGACACAGTAGGCCTTGGCCCTCCATGGGCTGTCGCGCCACTGACTTTAGTATAAAGCGCAAAAGTACCTCGTAATTAAAATTCAGGCGTAAAGAAAAAGTAAAACATAAGAAGAATAAGATGTATAATTTAAGAAAATAATGCATAAACGTAAAGCATAAGGAAAAAAACATTTAAAAGTAGCGCGTATATGCTGTTACCAACCAGGCTATCCCGGCCCCAGAATTCTTAAATAGTAAAACTAATGCATTATACATTTTTAATGAAAAAAAATTTACTTAATATTGGTGAAAAAAAGTTTCAGGTTTAGCTTTGAATCGCCGAAAACGAATTCAACACTTTCACGAATCTAGTCCATTGAAATATATCTGCCTATTATCATCGCCACAGTTTATGTGCTCATACTTAAAATTTCTATTAATGTTAGTCCCATAATTTCAGCAAATATCATTAAGCTAGGCGTTTTTGTTTCGCTAAAGAAGTTAGAAAAAATCTTATGCTAAATGAAAAGAAATTCTATTCCATATTTTTTATTATTTATTAAATATACTGTAATGTTAATATCATTTCTTCCCATTTTTATTCTTTGAGTAAATAGGAATTTTGCTATGGTGAAAAATTATTTTTATATGTATCTATAAAATTTAATTCCTGTTTATCTAAATAAATGCATGTGCTTCATTTCAATACTCTTATAAACATGTATTAAAGCAATTAAAATTAAGTTAATAAAATCTACTAGAATATATTAATTTCTTTCTTTTTCATTAACTTAATTATTTTTTTTTATAAAGAATGAATTAAAAGTTTTGCTGTGATAACAACTTTTTTAAATGGCTACTGCTAGGCTGAAAATAATTCCCTGCAAGAATAAAAAAATAAGTAACTCAAGCTTTCCTACATTTTTAAAATCTAAAATTTATTTAACATATTTTCTTCACTTGACATGAAAATAATTAGAATTATACCTTAAAACTTAGATTAACATGGTTAAAAAAATGTAAGAACAAAATTATTTTTTATTTATAACGCATCATTTTACTAAGTTATATCAGGCATCCATAACTCACTTTAACAATTTTTTTTTTACTGAACTAAAAATCTCTAATATTCAGAACCATGAACTAATGTTTCAATGAGTACTGTATAAATTATTATATGCTGTTATTATTAGAAAATATTATAAAAATACGTTATATTAAGCTACATTAGGGCACAATTTATTATATGTATCTTTGTTCTCACATCTAAAATTGTTGGATTTAATTACAAAAATTCCGGTCCCGAAGTGGTCTGATCGTTAAGACACGGTTCCCAGCAGATCACCGAAGTCAAGCATCACTGGCTAAGGTCAGTGTGCGGGTGGGTGACCACTTGGATCAGTCTGCGTAGGGACCGAGGGTGTGCGGTACTGGTCCTCGTTAAACTGTTCTACAATAAAGTGCTCGACTTCGCGCGCAGGTCGTCGGGCTACCGAAGTGGGGGTGCCATCCCCTCCGCAGAGGATCAAAATTGTGATGGCATGACTTCGGATCATCCTTCGGGATGTTTCCCAGACCGTCGCCAATAGCCCATTGTGCAGCTCTAGTGCGACGTAAATTAACAACAATAACAATAATTCCAAAAACATAAAGGCTTTCACAGCCCAGCAATTTTAAAAGAACGGCAGATGAACAAGAGTGACGTCAGTTCGTGAATAATCACGTGATTCCGCGTTTCAGATGAAAACGAAAGTAAGCGTTAAGTAACTTAATATTTAGCAATTTTAAGAAAATGTTTTTTGGTGGTTTTGAGGGATTCTGAGTACATAAAGATTTTTAAATAATGACTGTAATTGTACCATCAGGGTTAATTGTCCCAATTCTACAAAATATCGAAATTAAAACTTTTTTTGTACAATTGTATATACAGCTGTGATTGGAAGTTTGCCAATTTTTGTCTGGGAGTTGTGGTATTTGTGAGACTGCGGACGTGTTTTGTACAATTGAATGTACGATGTTTGGTGAATTTACATAGAAAAAAAAGAAAAAAATGGCGTTCGCTAGCGAAAGTGAAAGTAATGCAGATGATTTTTCAGATTATGAAAATGTGAACATATACAAAGACTAATATTTAACTTTTTTCATTTGCCCGAAATAGTTTGGGATAGTAAACTGATGGTAAATTATATATCTTTTACACATAAAGAAATTAAAATTTCAACTTAGAACTTGTGTATTATGTTTTGTTTTAGTTCCTTGTATTTATTAACAACAAAAAATGTGTTGATTTTTTGCATTTTTTTTTCTTTAAAAAAATTGGCAAAGGAAGCGGTCAATTAACATTGCTATCGATTTGGCTAATTATCCCTATAGTTTAGTTTTTTTATTCACCTTTAGCTTTTAAATTTCATGGGCGGTGCAAGAGTTAATAATAAGTGAGTGAGGTTTTGCTTTTAATAGGTGAATTAAACCATATCGAAATGAAACTTTTGTAATTTCTCACTTTAGTTTATGAGAAACACGGTCTATCTTCGTAACAAACTTTTAATTGGGGTAATTACAAAATACTCTCGATATCTCTCGATACTCTAAAGGAATTTCGAGATAAAAAGTTCAGGACTAAATATGTTCTAAAAAGTAAAAAAATATATTCTCAAATATTACTCTAAAAAGTGGAGTCATGAAGCTTAGGAATAAGAAATATGTATGTAATGTTAGTTGACTATAAATACAACAATAATAATTTTATTTTTAAAAGTAAGACAAAAAATAATGATGCATTAAGTAGAAAAATAATTGGTTTACAATAAACTTACATTGTGATTTTTCCGAAAAATTTTCGAAACAAATTGGACATAACAAGGTTTTGAGAAGAAACTCTCCGACATAGGAATTCAAATTAATATTAGGCAGGGCTGATTGTGCTCCGGAAAAAATTCGGATTTCCGGAATTTTCGCAAACAGTGATCCGGAAGTTTCCGGAGATCGAAGGTCCAGACGTTTCAAAAAATCATTGATCACAGAAGTTTCCGGAAATCAAATTTTCAAAGGTNAAAAACTATGAAACTTACTTCACCAGGTCATCATAGGTATGTGTAAAATTTTAAATATATTTTAAGTAAACTAAGAAATATTGAGAAAAATGAAGAAAAAAAAACCTTGTTTCAATTTTTTCCTAATTTTTCAATTTAAACTGGTTTTTTTTATTTATTATTTAACTCAGGGAATTTTCCGGAATTTTGACTTGGACTCACAATCACCCCTGTAATAGGTAAATAATTTTTTTGTCATTACAAGGTTTTCGAGATATCGAGAGTATTTGAAATGAAACTTGTTTTAGTATTTCTAATCATCTCATTAAGCGAGCACATGTTTCAAATTTTTGTTTTCTAACTTCCTCGGAAGAGGAAAATGAAGTTAGGGCTTTTAAATTTATACAGATAGAATTTAGGGTCAATCTCAAAATTGTGTCCTCCTGCTGCTGCTAAAAAATATTTCAATATAAAACTGACACTAAAACCCCGTTTTTTAATACAACTTTTTTTGAAAATTAAATTTCTCAGGAATACGTCAGCTCAAATGTTGAATTTTGCCATTTAAAATCACATTTCTCGAAATGATGTAAAAAAAAAAAAAATTGTAAATCTAACAATTCAATATGTTTTCGACTGTTATTAAAAAAATAATAAATCTTTACTAATAGTTATCTTTTTGCATGGAATTATTACTCTCATTTAATACATATTCAATTTGTTTATCCAAAGATGTCCAAGGTGCATCTTTGGATCAACCATTTTTATACATATGAGCAAAAATCTGTAAATTTGCTTAAAAAATTCTAGAGACATGGCGAAATGCGCAAAAACTAAAATTAGCCTTATATTCAATGTTTGTATGTACAATGTATATATGAACTTTACACTTATGTACTATGTATGCATATACATATATTCAATCTATGTATGTCTTATGTATACCTGTACATATACACAATGTATTTACATACAATACATGCATCTTCGATGAACGTATGTACTACAATACACGTATATCCAATGAATTAATGTACAGTGCTCCAAATATTAAAAAAAAAAACCTTCCTGAATAACTTTTGTTCTAATGATCGTATCTTCACGTTCTAAGACTCAACTAAGGTTCGAGAGGGTGACCTCAAATATGCTAATTGATTGGTGCTGACGGCTACTCCCTATATTTTAAAGTAGCACTAGAGTTACATTGATGGCTATCCACCCATGAGATTTGAAAACACCTAAGTATGATTTTAGAGAAAAGAGTTTTTTATTTTAGGTTTTATTTAACGGCTGCAAAAATATTGGGTTAATCGGCCAATTTTAAATAGGGATGAATAACGTCTTTAAAATATCAAGTGAATCATACAATTCTATATATGGTCTATTTTGGTTGAGTAACGACTATAAAATATCGGGTTCAATTGGACAATTTCATATAGGGTCTGTATTGGCTGAATAACGGCTGAAAAATATTGCACGAATCAAACTATTCTATATAGGGCCCACATTGACTATATAATGGCTTTAAAATACCGGGTGAATCGTACAGTTTTATCTATGGTCCATATTGGCTGAGTAACGGCTTTAAAATATAGGAATAATCCGACAATTTTATGTTGGGTTAATATTGGCTGAATAGCGGCTATAAAACATCGTTTGAGTCTGATACTTCCATATCGAAGGCTAACTATAACGGCTTTAAAATATCGGGTGAACCTAGCAAATTTGTATAGGGCCGATATTGGGCAAATAAGGAAAATCAAATATTGGGTAAATTTGACAATTTTATATAGGGTAAACATCGGCTGAATAGTGGCTGTAAAATATCGGGAGAATTTGAACATTTCTAAATCGGCAAAATAATGGCCCTTTAAAGCCGTTTTGAGCCAAGATTGGTAAATATGAGCCCAATGAGTTCCCAAGTAATTTTGCTGCTAGGGTCAACATTCGACATGAAAGTTCTATTTGGTGTCATCTTGAAATAAAGACACAATTACGCTTTCAATATAATTTTATACTTGCACTTCAAGAGGAAGATCACAAATACCAACACATGTAACCAATGTTGTCAGCACCAGCTGATCGTTTATGAGCAAAATGGCGTGTTGAAGTTGACCTAAGTTTCTTCCACGTAAGTTAGAATGTTAATTAACGTTAAGTCAATTAAATACAGTGCCGTTTCGCACATCAAATTTGTTTAAATGTAAGTCTTTCTTGTCTACGTCTTTTACTTAACTTTTTTTTTCCGCGTCTTTTATTATAACCGTGAAAAATTTTTGCTTTGTATACCTGGCAACTTCGATACATAATTAGTTTGTTTATGTTCCACATGACTTTTCATGCCTGTCTTTGTGTTAAGAAATATATAGTGAAATAATTGAAATCACTGTCAAAGAATCTTTGTGCATGAATATAGAATGTGTCACCTAAGAAAATCGATGCTTGAAGAGCTGGCAAACTCGAAATGGAATGGAAAGTACAGTTACTAACATAAACAAATGCCACGTTTAACAACCAATCAGCATCGAGATACCCACACTACGTCACTTGCAGGTATTCCATTGCGTCTTTACTTCAAGATTGCCGTTTCAAGATTATTAAAAATAAATTTCAATTTTTTTCTTTGCACTCTTTTTTGGGGTTGTTCTACATCAAATTCGAATGGGATATTACACCGCGGTTTTTAGAGTGCGCTTGAAAAATACAAATATATCATGATTTTAATATGATATTAATGGGAGGTGGGGTGGAAAGAACAAAACGAGAAATTTTTGATGCAAGAGGACATGGTAAATTTTCCTTAATAAAGTATTCTCCTAAATTTTTTTTTAAATCGAAATTTGAGAAGAAATTGGGATTATTTGTAAATAAATTTGAAAATTTCTTCCGCAAAATTTTTATTATTACTGTTATTAATTGTGCGAGTGAATTTTAGTGACTCAATATGTATTATTACTTTAACCGAGAACTCAAAAACTTAGGAGTAAGATAGAGTTTTTTACCATGAAATTGTCCACAAACACCAAAATAAGCTCCTCTTTTTCTTTTCTTTTTTTTTTTTACGAAAAAAGAAAGAAAAAGAGGACCTTTTGCATTCCTAAAAACAAATTATTTCCTTTTCCCTATTTTTCAAAAGGCTCTACAGTTGTTTTCCTTATTTATCCATAAGCAAACGTATTATATTTTTAATCGACATTATTTTGAAAAGAAAAACCGACCTACTTGGAAAAAAAAAGGAGGAAAAAAAATTTGAATGAAAGAGAAGCACCTAACGAAAGAGTTATTAAGTAGATTCGCACGCATGCATGTTTTAGTTGAAAAGATCTCATGTTCGGATAAGGGGGAAAAAAAAGGATATTTTTGCTTTCAATCTTCCATGTATATTATTGTTCGAGAACACAGTGTGAGATGTTTAAACAGAGACTATACGACATAAAAAAATAACTAAAATCTGCAGCACGTTTACTACACATTTCATTGTTTAATTCATTGCACAATACCAGTCCGAAAGGTAGGTGGATGGTATAAATAGGTAACTTTATTTTGTGCAGATGATATACTTAATTCAGTGGATCTCAATTGCAACTACATAAAATCAAGATGGCCAAGTTGTTCTTGTTGTCAGTTTTCGTGATTTCCGTCGGTGTGGTATTAGGAGAAGGAGAGGATTGTAGGAAGGAGTTTACGAAAATGATGGAAACCTCGAAAGGTAAGAAGCTTCATTTATATTCATGTAATGTAGGAAGAGTTCAGTATCGCGCTGTACTGCGAACAGAAGTAGACACCGAGTTGTGTTGGGGGCGCGGAGAAGTTGGAAGAAGGGGACAAAGAACCTCGGTGAGGTTTGTAATGCCGGACGTAGCACAAAATGCATGCCTAAGAAAATGGACGCAACTATATACAGTAAAACAACAATATTTTTTGGACCAAATATAGTGCGGCTTTCAGGAGAACTCTTCCAGACATCCGTCTCGCGTCATGGCGGGTTCCATGGTTACGAGGAAGGGACACTTCGAATTGGGGTGTGGAGTGAATAGGTTTGTCTTAATCTCGGCATAGGTTGCCGTGAGTACCCAAACGACACCTTCTTTCCTCCATTTCACCCCATTAGAAATGTGCTCTCGCTTGTTACCATAGCAGCAGACAGCCCCAGTCCCTTAGTCTGGAGGAGTTCTCCTCAAAGTCGCACTGTAAATATATCGTTGTTGCTTATCCTCATAGATCTGGCATTAATCAGATCAACTCCAAAAAGTTGTTGACTGCCAGAAAAGTCGATGACCAGCAGGTGATCGGAAGTTAAGTCCGCCCTGGATAGTCTCACATAATCAAGTATATGTTTCGGTGAGACTGGATGAACACAGCATTTTTTTACAAGTCGGTTAAATTTTTGTGCCACGTTCGAATGTTAGACATTTTAGGTGACCAGTTGATAATCTGGCCAAGGCAGTCTGGGAGCTTCGATCGCAATTCATTCCCAGAAGGGTGCCAGGAGATGTTGCGGTGTACCATTGGGGGCGTAGGTGGAGTTTGCCAGATTGATTATTTGTCTATATTTTTCATTGGAGTCAAGTTCCTGACAAGTGATGACCCGGTGGACATATTTTCCTCACTGCCCTCTTTGGCCAATCTATCTGCTATCTCGTTGCCACCAGTATTGACATGTGATGGAATCCATTATGTATCGTTATTGAGGGATATATTGTTATATCGAGGGTCTGCATACTTTGGGAACACAATAAGATTTTTTTTAATGTTATATATGTATTAAATATGAATGTATTTATATATTATGCAAGGAATTAATTTGCAGAGTGTTAATTATGGTTAAATATTAAGAACGATTTAAATAAAATCAGAAAATAAGATCGTAAACATACCTGAAAACCATTTTTATTGAAAATAGGATATTTTTGTTTGTTTATTCATTTTTTTTTACTGTCAATTCAACCAACCAAGTATGCATTGAGTCCAAAGAGCGAAAATGATTTTCGTTTGCGAATGGTGCTCCACCCACCCTCTGCAGAAAAAAATATCTTTCTGGTGTTAATGTGATGCTTGTGGTCATTTGTGACTCACGATCAGTTTTTAACATGAAGGAAATGAAATCAGACGGGAATGTTCCATCTGTGACTTCTTAAGAGATAAGGGAGGCAATTCTAAGAATGGAATGTCTTGGGGGTGGTCAGCAGTGAGTCTTCTCTTGTCAGAAGAGAGGAAAAAAATGGCAAAGGATGATTAGTTAAGATTTTTTACATTATTTGAAAACCAATAATAAATGGAGAAAATAAGATTTAAATTTGGGGGAAAAAATTCGTTTTACAGAGGTTTATTGCTTTAGAGAATATCGTAATATTGAGAGGAGCATGACATTAATTCACATGCAAGTTCGTCGGGACTACGAAACATTATCGTAATAAAGGCAGTTATTGTTGTATTGAATATCGTAGTAGCGAGAGTTCACTGTATATATATGGGTCATTCTCACGAAAACTGTCATTTTTCAGTTCATAAAATCCCAAAAAAGTAAAGTGAATAAAAAGCTCTGAAACTTTTTATATTAATAGAAATATGTAATGGCATTATAAAGAAAGTATATATCCTATAAATTATACTTAATATTTAAATTAATTAATTTTTTAAATAATTAATTTATAATTATTAATTTATAAT